CTCTCTCCTCAATATTGTCCTCTGCTGAAATGAAAGGGGGAATTTGAATTCAGAGAAAGACTCCCACGGAGAACATGAAGACAAAGATTAAATCAGTGATACAACGTTGACATGCGTTCAGTTCCTGAAAGGTCTTAAAAAAAAAAAAGTCTCCTCCAGAGCAGCCTTGCCACCACCTGAGATTGTTTCCAAAAAAAAGGGGCATTTGGGGATTCAGAGAAAGGAAGGCATGTGAAGGCATCTTGGGAATGGGCCAAAAACTACTCTTGCTGATAAAGACAGGCAAGAGCCTCCTGGCTAGGGTCAGCAACTTGTACTGCCTGCCACCTTGAGGATATGTCACCCGCTGCCCACCCCAGGCATCCAGTGGGCCAGGCCTCTCCAAGTCACTCACAGCCCCTCTTTCCCACACCCTGCAACCAGACAGAGGCCCAGAGGGCCCATAGCCACAGGACCTGACCAGTTGTGGTCTCTAACTAGTGGCAGCTGTGAGTTTCTAATTTATCTCATCCATTTTTTTTTCCTCTAAAAAAAAGCACAAAAGCCACTGTTTCAAGCCAAGCCTCGTTTTCAAGAGTCCCCTCTAGTGGAGATGACCTGCTACTTCGGCTTCCCTGTGAACCCAGAGCCTCCCCCGGCCTGGGTGGACTGAGAAGAGCTTCTCTTGCCCCTCTTGGCTGCCTCCCCGCCCCCAGGCCCCTGCTTGCTCCCTGGGTTGCAGCTTAGCTCTCTCCGCCCTGGCACACTGTCAGTTTCTCCTTCTTTATCTTCCCTTTCTGTCTCTCTGCCTCTTCACGTTTATCTGCGACCCTGTCTTCATCTTGACATCTGTCTTTCCACGTGTGCCTTCTTGCTTGCATCTTGATCTGCATCTTCTGTCCACATGCTGCTTTTCTCGCAAGTTCAGGAGGACAGGTCTGACTAGTGAGAGTGTTTCAGTAGGAGCCTCTGAGATCCAATGGTCCAACTTCAGAGGCCAAATCAGGACCCCTAAGCTGAAGCCAATGAGAAGCAGTCTGGAATTGAGCTTTCCTGCAGGTAAATAGAGCTTTGGCAAAAACTCCCTCCTCTACCCCCCTCCCCTGCCCTGCCCCGCTCCCAAGCAAACTTGGGCCTAATGGGTTTATCTATATTTTGGAAGCTGTCTATATCTGATCTCCTGCCTTGAGGTCTTATGTGAAACCAGATGGCTCCCTTTGATCAGCTCTCCCCACCACTCTGCCTCTTACCCAGTCTCTGACCTGCAGCCTGCCATGCAAACGTCAGGCAATGCTTGGGTGAAGGGACAGGTGGCAGGGGCTGGGAAGAGCAGTGATGCAGAGCAAGAGAGAGAGAAAAGGGTGGGTAAGGGCCAGAAACTGGCCCTCTGTAGTGGCGGTGAGCACCTGCTGGTCCTGTGGGTTTCCTAGAGATATCCTTTCACCCAAGTGGGAGATAAGGCCAGGACAGGGCAGGAGGTTAATGGTTAACCAAGTACAGGAGCAGGAAACTTCCACAGGGCTCAGGCCCAAGGCCTTTTCTTTAACTCCCTGTCTTCCCTTCCTCTTCTCTCTTACCATTCTTTCCCAGTAGGGACCCCGCTCCCCAACAAAGAACTTTCTCACCTCTATTTCTGCCCTCCAATTCCAGATGGATCAGTGTGGAACTAGATAAAGAGGTTCCATATGCCCAAATGCCAGGGAATGGGGCTGAGAGCCTGAGGGCTAAGCAGAGGAGAAGGGGAGTGACCCTTTCCTACCAGTCATCCCTCCTGGGTGCCTTGGGACCAGCTGTTTGACCCCTGGAAGAACTGCCTTTCTTTCTGTCTCCACAGGGCTCACCTTTAGAAATGACCAATAGGAGAGAGAGAGAGAAAAAAAAAAAGGACACCCACTTACCCCTCATTTACTTTAATCAGGCATGAAATCTTTGTAACTAAGTGAAAAAACTGTTTCCCATAAGGGAATCGGTTCCATTCATCATTGTTTGAACTGAGCATATGTGAAGGGGAGAAATAGAATATTCACATAGAATGAATTGATAACAGACTGCCCCGGGTGAGGGTGGTAGTGATGGGGTGGGGCGTGCACATGAGCTGTAAAACTCCAGCACCTCAAAGCTTGTTCCTAGCAGTTTCCCTATGGACAATCCTGAATTATTTCTAGTTAACAGACTGTAACACAATGCTCCAGTCTCTTTATGATCAGAATGGGGGGGTGGGGGCTTGGCTCAGCACTCCTTGCCTCTCCATTTGCCATGATGGACAGAAGTATATTGTGTCCCGTCTGTGTGTGCGGGGACAGCTGTGTGGCAATGCAGGAAGACAGCTGGAGGTGGGGGTTTGCAGGAGACAGGAATTGCCTCCCCCACAAACCCTATATGCTGGGGAGGCAATCATAGAGAACAAGGTAGGCCAGAAATTATTTAAAAATCCCAGATAGTGACAACTCCAGCACCAGAAATATTTCATAGTACCTGAATTGGTGACTTTAGGCTGCTGCCAGCTGCTGCCTTGTACATTTAGCCATGTCACTGGTTTCCCCTCCTGTTCCTGTGTTTTCTTGTAACATGCCCATGAAATAAAGATTAGCTGAATAATCAGAAGTATTTGTAAATGGGAAAGGGACCTAGTAGAGAAGGCTGTTCTTGCTGGGTTTTCTTTCTAACCTCATTTTGAGCACAGACTCCTGCAAAACAGATGGTGAACTTTTACATTCACCACATCTGCAGCTTTTGATGGTCAAGAGAGTTGGAGGATGAATGTTCCTTGGCACTCTGGAGACAGAGGGAGGAATTTAGGCCAGCTCTGACAGGGGTTTCACCAGTCTTGGAATAACACAGTTTTGGGTGATGGTTAGATGATATTATTTATTTGCTCTTTACCTAGACATAGGCTGAAAGGCCAACCAATCCTCCTTCTTGGCTCTAGACTGGGAGGTACCCCTCTGAGGATCATCCTGTGGTCCAGGAGACTTGTGGTCCCAGGAGCAGAGGAGACTTTCTGGTCTTTTACCACTATGGGTCCGACTGCTCCTCAGCAGCAACTGCACGTTGCTCAAGATGCCATTTCCATTTAACTACTTTGCAAGCCAGTTTGCCCCCAACCTAATACAATTTGCTGAAGAGAATGAGGGAGCATAGATGGTAGTCTGCATTGCTCTCCCTTTCTCAGCAGGTCCCTAAAGAGGATCAGTGATGGGAGAGGGTTGATGGCAGCGGGGGCAAATTCCGGGATTGGATAGGGGTGGGACTTGAAGGTGAGAGGCAGTGACGCCAGATGGAAATGGGGAGAGAAAAAACAACCTGGAAAGGGTACTCTGACAGATTCCGCTCTCTTTCCTTGGTTCCCTACCCTCTCTCCTTAACCTCCCACCTAGGAGAGATCAGAGGTAATTAGTTCAAATGGTGCTTTGTGAGGAGAGGGGGAAGTTAATGAATTCTTCTCTCTTCTTGCCTGGAGGTCAGAGGGGAGAGGACAGAGAGCAACTTCAGGAGCTTTCTGGGGTGACCGCACAGAAGCTGTGCATTTCAATTAGGAATAGCTGAATTCCTCCAGCCAGAGCTAGCTCTTGAGAGGATTGAGGACTCTGTTGCTCAGGTGAAGGCTCCAGAATTCAAAGCCAGCCCAGGGGAGAGTGAAGTTTCAAGGTCTGGGAAAGAAGCAGAGCAAGATAGGAGCCTGCTATTGTGTGGGATGTGGGAGGGCTGAACCTGACTCCTGTTCCAAAATCCAGCCCAGCCCGTCCCATATACTCATCTTGGTAAACCTGGTTCACTGCACTCATCAACAGGAAGGGATGGATATGCCCCAAATGTGGGTTTCTCCAGCGGATGGACCCCCCATGCCACTGTCTGGAGCTACTGTAGGCAGCTCCACTCCCTGAAATCATCCTGCCTTTAAGGCTCTTGCACACTCATGGCTGGTATGTCATGATTCCCTAGGATCTTGGATTTTACAGGAGACCTGATTATATATATTTCCATTGCCCATTTCACGGGGCTTTCATTTCTAGACCTGAAACTAACCTAGAATCCGAAATCTTTTACTTAGCTTCTTCTCTTCCATTATGTCTATTGGGATCTGACCTGAGTGAGCTATAGTGGGGTAGCTTCTCCTAGGGCAAGGGTCGTGCCAAACAGGTGGACATTTTTCCGGGGCCTAGAATGGCAGTTTCTGGTGACTCTCTGTTGGCCAACTAACCCATGAGTAACATTTACAGAGACTACCTGTGGGATAAACAAATGGGGCTAGAATTTTCTAAGATACCTTTATGACTAGTAGGGTGAGACATGACCAAGGGAAATATTCTCACACAGGTTGCCGGATTGCCACTGGGACCCTGGGCAAACTCCCACTTCAACCCCCAACACATCAAGTGTTGCTCCAACCAGAGGACTGGGTTCCAAGTAGGGCACTACACCACGGTGCTGATAGTGGTGGAGGGACGCGGAACACTTATCCTTATTCAGTGCCTTGGAATTGCTTTCAGAGCCTTCCGGAACCCGCGCAAATGATGCATTCCCTTTCCCCTGATCCCAAGTCCCCTGATCTGAAGGAACAGCTAGCGGCCACCAGGGACTCCAGCATCGGAGTGAACGCCCCCAAATCGATGGCTGGCCACAGTGGCCTTGGGCTGTCTTGTCGTGCTACCGAGGCCCTCTCTGGGCTCCAGCTCTCGGGACAGCCTCACCGCCCAGATGCTCCCCCAAGCCGCAGAGTGCCGGCAGGTGCGCGGTGGAGCGCGCAACAGAGCGCTGTTGCCGCCCGCAGCCAGTGCTGGGAAGCCGGTGGCCAGCCGTGAAGCCCGCGGTGGGAGGCAGCGGCCGCGAGTCCACCGGCACTCGGGCGCACGCCGCTTTCCGGCCAGCGAAAGTGACCGAGCCCGCTCGGGGACTCTCCCGCAGCAGCCGAGCCCGGGTGCTCGGGGTGGGACCCCAAAGAAGCGGGCGGGGGGGGAAACCGCGGCGGGTGTGCGCGCGTTTGGGGAGAGGGTGGAGGGCGCTGCCCAGCCGCCGCTTACCCAGCTCAGCGACGTCGGTCTGTCCTTCCGTCCCTGCTTGGTCCGCCTGGGCCGCCGGCTGCCGAGGGCGGCGCGTGCCCCTCTCCCTGCCCGCAGCTCGGAATCACAGAGACGGCCAAATCCACCAGGAGTCCAAATTCATTAAAATCCACGTCAAGCCACCAGCCACTTATCTGTATTCCTGAAGTGGCCCCTCGGTCTCCGGTCCGCGCGCCCCTCTGTCCTCCGTCGCCCCGCAGCAGCCCCGCCGGGCGCTATAGCCGGTTCGCGTGAGGCACCCAGAGGCGCCGAGGGGGCGTGTGGGGGTGGCTGGCGGTGTCTCTCCTGGGGAAGAAGCAGATCCCCGGCTGTCTTCAGATTTTTCCAGCGCGACTTTCCGGGCTCCTCTGACATCAGCAATCCCGGCGTTTCCTTCCCTTCTTGCTCCCCGGTTGGTTCACAGTCCCATTTCCTCCGGGAACCTGGCTTTCTAGATTATTTCGAGGTTTGCTCCGCTCGCTGGGGCGCTCGCGCTCCCTACCGCTCCTGGGCTCGCGGGGTCTCGCGCTGGATCGCTCGCCCTCTCGGCTGAAAAATTCCCAGCAACTGCGCTCCGCCGCCTCCCGCTCCAGTCTGGCGCGGAGGCTGCTCCGCCAGGCAGCTCTGGCTCCCGCGGCGGCGGCGGCGGCGGCAGCAGCGGCGGCGGCAGCAGAGCCCTCAGCGCCGGCCTCCCTATATTACCATGCAGCTCATTATCATAGAGGCCGTGCGTTAACCCTCTCCCTGCCGGCCAAGCTGCCCCGGCTGGGGCCGCGCCCGTCGCTGGCACCGCCCGCCGCAGACAGCCCCCTGCCCCCTCCCCCGCCCGCGCGGACTTCCTCCTCCGCAAGCTGTCAACAAAGGAGAATCAGATTGGGCATCGGGTGGCCGGCTCCGCTGTCGTCCCGCTCTCAGCTCAGCCCGGACCCACTAGCCACCTTAAGTAGCCAAGGGGGCAACGAAAATGCTGGCGGGGCCTGGGGATTCAGGTCGAGGCCTTGCAAGCCCGCTGACATAGCCCCGGGAGGTGGGGGCGGGAGGGGTCCAGGATACAGCCAGAGTGGGTGAGGGCAGTGGGGACCAGGGCTCCTCTTCCCTTAACATCACCTGTCACCATGAGCATCCTGCACACCTCCCTCTTCATCTTTGAGTAAGGAGTGAGGGCGCAGGAACCATCCTCTTTTGATGGGGAGACTGGGTCTCAGGATCTGTGGGAGCAAATTCTCTCTTCTCACGAATTTCGGAAAGCCAACAAGCTGTCAGATGAGGTTTGAAGTTGTTGTTAATTATTATTTTTACAACGAGAAGATGAGCTTTCTACTCATCTTTCTACTTGGAATCTCCAGCTTCCAGCTCTGTTAGGGATCCTGGGCGTCGGGCAAGTCCTGACTGGGATGGGGTCGATGGGAACTGGAGCAGAGCTTTCTTTAACCAGACCCAGGGAGGCTTCCTGGCAGGGGATTCAGAGAGGTGGCGGCTAAGAGGTTAAGAGAACTTATTTTAATATCCTAAGATGAGAGGTTTCTGGATTTCGGATGATCATACTTCGGTGCTCTCACGGTCGGCGGATCCTTGGCCATATAGTGTCAGTATCTCTGCAAGGTCAGGACATGGCTTTCCCACAGGGGACCTGCAAACTAGACCCCAGCGAGCTTGCAGGATCTGCGTAGTCCCTGCTCTAGATTGGAGCATCCAGAGTTTACTCAACATGTCCAAATAGTCTGATAACCTTCCTCTACTGCCCTCTCGTGGGCACTATCTTCAGTGGTATACATAGAAAAAAAATCACTCTTGAAATCTTAAAAGCAATTATGTGAAATTCTTAGCACTAAGGGCCTTTAGAAAGAAAAGGTAGGGAGAGAGGAGGAGGAGGAGGGAGGGAGGGAGGGAGGGAGGGAGGGAGAGAGAGAGAGAGAGAGAGAGAGAGAGAGAGAGAGAGAGAGAGAGAGAGAGAGAAAGAATATGAATTTGCTCTTAACAATCATCTCAAATGATCCTCCTTTGCCGAACTGGGAGAATTTAGGCTTTACTCCAGTTAGCTAATTCTTTAAAACTTTTAAAGAAGTTAGCTAATACTTCAAAAGTTTTCTAGAATAGTTAATTAATTTTAGTTTATGCCCTATAACTTGTATTGACTAATCCTGACTTTGTCATGTGGTGCCACATATAATCTAAGCTGTTTTCTCTGATTCTTACCTGTTCTTTTCTTTGAATTTCTTCAGCATGAATTGTTGGTAACAGTCCAGGAAATTATCATATTTTTCCTATATTATTTATTTCTCTCTGTAAGTGGATCTTGTCTCCCCATCCAGACAGTCTTGTTATCCTCTTATCTCTGAGTAGACAGAATTTAAACCACAATTTATTAAGGAAGATGATTTGAAGAATATGCTCAAAGATTCTGGAACATTTGCTCCATTTTTTTAATGCATGGAACATCAGTTTGGCCAACTATACCTAAGACTGTCAGCGATAGAGTTGGAAATATCTAACTGATAAAGCTCACAGCTAAAAATTAGGGCCCTCTGATTCTAAATCAAGTGCTGTATAACTTGGAGAAATTGAATATTTTTCCTATGTCTTGATTTAATCACATCTTGAGAAGATTATAATACAATTTAAATAATTTTCAGATACCACTCCCATACCCTGTGATCCAGAAATAAATTCTAGAATGAAGAGCAAGGAAGCATAAAATGATACAGAATCCTTCATTCACCATTCACCACATATTTCACCTCTGTGCTTGCCTCCCCCTTCCTTAATAAAGGGAGAGAAGGGGAGGAGGAAGAGAGAAAGAGAGCACAGTCAGGAGACTACTTTATAGGCAGGGTAACACAGTGCCACCCGGTTTCCACACTGCCATTGAACAGCATCTGAGATCTGTTCCTATGGGATTATGGGAGTTCCAGGCACTCCTTGGAGATTGCATAACCATGGCAAGACACTAACGTGATGCATTGGGAGGTTGAAGTACTCTTTACTTCTCTAGGTCTCAATTTGTCCAATCTGTACAATTTTGCCTTCATTCACCAGAGAACCGACAGAATTAAATATACATATGTATATACATACCTATATATAACAACAGTGTTTGAAATACTGATAGTATCTTTAAAATGAAAGACTTATTACTGTTAGTCCTATAGGCTAGAACAAATATGGATCTTATTAAATGTATAATTACAATATACTTAGGAATTAAAACAACAGCTCAAGTTTATGGTTGTATTTCAATAAAACATCCTCTGAAACAATGGCAATATATGTGAGTCTCTAGTTTCTAAACTAGAAAAAAGTCTCTAGTTATCTAGTTAAATAACTCCGTCTCTTTGCTCACGGGGTATTCATTCATTCAGTCATCCAAAAGTATTTGAGAGCAAGTTTACTATATTTCTTTCTTGTGTAGAAATCTATTTTGTGCATAATTACCTCTTCAGAACATTTAAAAAATTTTAATTGATACTTGTACATATTTATGTGGTGTGCTGTGATTAGTTTACTATATACCACATGGGATGACCAAACCAGGGTAATTAGCATATCATCATTCCCAACGTTTATCATTTCTTTGTGTGGAGAACATTCAGAGTACTTCCTTCTACCTACTTTGAAATACATAATAAATTACTGTTGATTATAGTCACCCTACTGCACTACAAAGCACTAGAACTTTCTGCTTCCAACTGTAACTTTTTATCTGATAACCAACTTCTCTTATCCTTTCATCACACTCTTCTTCCCAGTTTCTGAAATTACTACTCTACTCACTGCTTGTATGAAATCAACTTTTTTAGTTTCTTCACAGGAGTGAGATCATGCAATGTTTGTCTCTCTGTCCCTTGCTTATTTCATTTAACATAATTCCCTCCAGGCTCATACATGTTGTTGAAAAGGACAGAGAATTTCATTCTTTTAAATTTTTGAATATTGTTCCATTGTTGAGTACATATTTACATATATTTTTTAAAAAAGAACACCAGTAACCCAATAGACTACATACTCCCAGACTATGTCTTTTAGGGGACTCAGATTTTCTTGTATCTGTTTGGCCTGAGATTCTTTCTTATCTAGTTCAACTAATGTCAAACCCATAGCCCCTGGGGGCTAATGAGTCCTCTACTGGTGTCTGGTGGTTCACCCCCATTTCCATCAGGCGGGACAGCAATGGCTCAGCATGGTTGTGGGCATGTAGCAGGTGTTTAATAAATATGTATCAAATAAATGAATAAATGAATGAGAAAATATTTATTTATGCTAAATCCTCATCTTAAAAAATTATAGCACATTCCATATACTTCTCCCTGCCCCCCACCCGAACCCACACACCTGCTCTTGTCACAGTACTCTTGGAACCTCACCCTCAGAAAAGCCTTCGGTGGCTACTATATTGTTATCCCTGGCCCCAGGTCTCTTCTTTGCTTGTCAGGAGATGGGCGACTTAGGGAAGAAGATAAGAGAAGTGGGAGAGAACAGGGCACCAGCATTCTAGAACAGAGTTGTATTTTTTCCAGTGGGAAATGGCTTTGCTGTGAACACTGGCTAGCAGCAACGTCTGCGTTTCCCAGGCAGGACCAGGCCTCCTCAGGCCCTGGGAAGCAAGCCCTCAGGCTTGGGGAGCATAGGCCCAAATGGGCAACCAGCCCATCCCTGGGGGAAGTCCTCTCTGTCGTAGCAGCAGCTTCAGCCCCACAAATAGATGCCAGGACGGTAGCCCCTTGGATCACAGGAGGTATTTTTGGTCCTGGAAGCTGGCCACACTTTGGCAGTCTTTCAGCCTCTAGTCTGCTCCTTCTCGAGGTGGGGGTGGCAAGCCATCAGTGTTCAGAACGCATGGGAACGCTGCCTGCCAGTGTGCCCGCGCATACATTTAGGGTGCTGGGAGTGGGGTGGGGGCTGGGTTCAGGAGTTCTGCGCAGGGACCCCTGGTGGGAAGGGAGCTGGCTCCTGCTTGCCAGTGTCGGTGGGTAATCTTTGGTGGTTGCCGGGATTGCATCCGGCTCTTTAAACTGAGACCCCTTATGCCATCACCAACTTGACCTATCTCTCCGCTATGAGACGCGTCCCATGTTTCACTTCCCCGATTCCAGGTTTGTCACTTTGAGAGGCAGGAACATGCTCCCTTTGTGTGCATGTGTGTGTGGGGGGCTTTCTTCTCCCCAGGCTGTACCTTACCTTCACCCCACAGACACTGTCAGGCAGCCACAATGGCAGAAGCAGCAGCCTCCTCTACCCCCCACATTGTTAGGAACAAAGGCATCGGTCTGACAGGCCAGATTGGAGTGTGTGGGCCAAGTCCCATGAATGGAAACGAGAGTCGGCCCGGCTGCCAGAGTGGTGGGCCTCTGCCCTGGCAACGGGGCCTGGGGCCCAGGACACGGGAACAGGGCACCTGCCCCGGGATTCTCAGCACCATTTATAAAGATGTCACCCTCCTCTCTCCTCTTTTCACAAATCCCACTTTCTTGTGTAATTTAAACAGTAGCAAGCCTGTTAAGGCTCCAAACCAAACACGGTGGGATTTTACTCTTTTCTTACTAAACCTCCCACGAGCAGAGCTTATGTCCCTGTATACATTGCCCTCTTTCCCTAATCTCGCTCCCTTCCTACATCCAATGTTATTTCTCTGGCAGGAGAGTATCTTTTTCTCAAGTCCTGGGCAACTAC